ACGGAGGAAGAATATAGTTAGAGAGGATTCAGTTGTCTTAACTCAAGTGTTATTGCCATGTATGCCCTTCGTACAGAACTCAGATAACATATGGTGTTTGTACCTTGCCTACAAGCACATCAAAGTAAGTAAAATCGGAGTGTAGAGCAACAGCCAGATAACTGATCATGGTTATACATTAAATAGCATGTAAGTAGGTTGTAAACTCTGTTTACTACTTCTTTATCGGGTGGGCACATTGTTACGCTCTGGAAATTTTTGCTTGTATATGTGATTGTTGTTCTTCCTGCAAGGTACCACTATATGCATAAAGCTAAGGGATTTTTTCTGCATGTTATGACAGTGCATTAAAAGCTTAGTATCAGTAATGGTTCAGAACTCAACACTGTGGAATTCCACTTTATAGAAGTAGTTTTGTTATTGCTTAATACTGGACAGTATAAAAAGCGTTATTAATAATATTTGCATGTTTATAGAAATACTTGTATTAAACCAAAGAGATTTGTTCAGAATACAAAAAATTCATTATAAGTGCACACATGCCATGTTTCAATCTCTGAGGTTCCATAATATGTCATGGTTTAGCTCTGATATATTTGAACACTCAAATGATACATTGTGGTGGCAAGACCCTTGTCTAGAGGAAAGAATATTTTATGACTGGCATTTATCAATTCCATTATTTTCCCCTCTTTGTTTTTATTTGTATTCTTCATGTGTTTAAGCACAAAAGCATTTGCTGTTTCACTTTCTCTAAAACTGAAGTAGTGGCTCTTTCATACAAGGTGTTGAAAGGGTGAAAACTTACTGACTGAAATGCTTAAATATCATGATCATGAGAATGATAAAGGGCAACCAGCCTAAAATTATTTGGAAAACTTCTGATAACAAAAACAAAACAATAGCTCTCAGGTAGTATGAGAATGATGTTGGTCCCAGGGAGTAGCCATACCAGGGATGCTGCAGGTGACCACAGAGCCACCATCACTTCTCTGTGACCTGAGAGGCTTAGGAGTTTGGATAAAATTTCTAACAGCAGCTGGGAAGATGTATTCACACTAGCATGTGTAACATAATTAACTTTCCAAGCTCTGGGGAGCGGTGTAGTGACTTCCTTGGGGTTAGCGTAGGTCTGATGTGGCTGAACACAGCAGGCACAGCTGGGCCAGGCTGTGCCTGGCTGGAGCCAGAGCTGGACCTTCATTTTCATTTGTATCAGAGGAGTGAGAATGTGGGAGCACCAAAGGCGTTGGGCTTTTGAACTGTGTTGAAACAGAGCTCCTTCATTCCAGCTCCTTACTCCTAACAGGTGGCTCCATTGTTGGGTTGATGTTTTCTCAGTGAAGTGCCACTGTGGCCAAGAGTGGAGATGTGGCAGTTCCAAAGCACATGTGTGTAGCATGATAAAAACCCTTAGCTGTGTTGGAGGAGATGATGTACATTAGCATTCAAACCAGGAAATGTCTCTGTGTTTTCTTACTAGTCTTTGTCATTTACAAGGTATTTCTTTAATTGCACGAAAGTGTTTTGCTACTTAATTTTGCCCTGCAGTTAAAATGCTAACTTTAGCAAAATTATTAAGGTACTCTCTATGAAGAGGTATTTTATTGTCTCACAAGGATGAAGAAGAATTGAGAAATGCATTCTTACAAAAGTACCCACTGAATAATGATGCTCTTGACAACCTCTTGTGTTCCTTTCTCCATTTTTACTCATCAGGAGCAGGTATTTGGTCTGTGTCTTTGAATGAGAATGTTTTGATGAGATGCATTAATAATAAAAGAAAGAAAAAAGAGCTTTGATACTTGCTCGTTCTGAAGCTGTCAAGAGTCAGATGACAAGAAATGTGTGATCTCTCATACAAAGGTGACTCTGGCTTGTGGCAAAGCACTCTGTGGCGTTTCTTTTGATGAGTTAAAAGGACGGGCCATGCAGACACTCTTTCTGAGTCAGGCTCTTGGTGATTTGCCTTGACTAAGAATTTAATTGTAGCTGTGCAGATTTCATAACTATGTTAGTGAAATGATATATGTAGTTCTTTTGTTTTGAAGGAGGAAATAATATGATTTAGTATTTAATGCACTGTGCGATATGTATTTCTGCTGTTGCTTCAAATTGAAATAGATACTCCTCCTTCAGAACTGATTGGATTAAAACCTGTAGTGCCTTCCTTTGAGCTTCTGTTGTATGTAAGTACACCTTTCTTTCATTAAGCTGCTGTAATGAATAGGTATGAAAACTAAGGCTGCATCCATGGATTAAAGAAATCAAGAATGCTTGAGTAAGTTTAGAGAAGAAAATAAAATAGTCTGTTATTATGTATACTCCTTCAAGTAGAACAGAATTATAACTGGATAGCTCTGCTGTCTTCAAAAATGTACTCCATTTTCTATTGCCTGAAGCTCAGGTTTAAAATATGACTATAGAATACCATTCTGTGCTGTTGTGATCTGACCAACTGAAAGAAGCTGAGAGGAGTAATCTACTGGATCTGTATGAAAATTACTTCAATTAATTTAAGTGACAAGGTAAATTGAAAGTCAGCTAGCCTAGGAGAATGGGACATTGCCTTTCATTTTCTATAAAATTATAGAAATGCCTTTAAAAAAAGGTTTATAATAATGGTCTTAATGGTTGGGGTTTTTTTGAACACAGAAGTCTTATATTGGGAGAAAAGTAATTACAAGTTATACTGTGCAAGTTCCACACTAGTTTTGGGATACAGAGAGCATTTGACTTTATGCTAAGAAAAGTGATTATGAAAAACTGTTCAGTTGGTATGAGTTTAAAGCAAATATAAGTTTAACTTTAAAGCATCCAATTCTTGGTGCACAGTATGTTTAGAGAAGTGAAGGCTTAGAAAGGATTAGTGCATTATCAATTTTGGTACTTTGATACAGAAACCAGCATAAAATGTAGATAACCTCTGTTAACTTGTTTTTTTTTGTTGAGTTTGGCTTTTTTGGTTTTGATTTTTGTTTGTGGGGTTTTTGTTTTGGTTTTTTTTGTTGTTGTTCTTGTTTGTGGGATTTTTTTGTGTTTTTGTTTGCTTTCTGGTTTTTTTTTTAATTATTGCATGGTTTGTTAACCTGCTGTGTATCAAGTTGCTAGTATTGGAAAACATTTACTCGGGGAATAATTTGTTTTCACATGTGCAGTTTGGGAGGATATAACAGTCAAAGAAAGTTTGACTAAAGATGAGATGAGATGAGATGAAGAGAGTGTTATTTTGCATTACAGTGTTACTTTCACTGAATTTGCAGACAACAGTAAGCTGTGTTTATTTTGAAATTGCATGCTGTGTACAGTGTGCTAATAATTTAATTGGTTTGGAGGTAAGTCTTAATGGGATTATATTTTTCAAAATGGCACATTGACTTTTGTCATTAGTTTTGGCTAAGAAAATGTTCTTGAATTTGATTTTGTTTTGTAGCAGTGAAAATAATTAACTTATTTAGATCTGTGATTGCACAGAAGAAACCACGCTTATGGTTGTTAAGAGAAAGATGGTTTAGTATGCCAACTCAATTTAGCACCTGAAGACATTTCTCAGTCTTGCGTCATTGCTACTAAAATTCTGTGGTTAGAACTAGAGAAGTTTTGTATATCATGAATAAAAGTTAAATGAGGCTTTTGCTGTCACGGGAAAATAGTAAAACTTTAGCTTTATACGTTAATTGAATTTGTGTAAGGTGGTATTTGGTGAAATGTTTGGGCTTGGAGGCGTCTTTGGGTCAGAAGTGTTTGAAAGACAAAGGTTGTAGCAGACATTTGAAGGTGTCCAGAGCTGAGAGTTTTTGGATGTGACACCAAAGTTCCACTTCCATCTTTCTCAGCCTCCTCATGGTCGTTTTATCTTCAGTGATAAAGGGTAAGACTGCAGACGTAGCAGAATATTTTAAGTTTCCTTGCAACAGGTGTATTAGAATTTGATTAGGGAGAATTTCAAAAGCAAGAAAAATGCAAAATAACACAGGATGAGTTGAGACGTAAGAAAAGAAAAGTGAATCAAATTCCACAGATTTGCAAACGGAAATTTTGTGGGATTTATTTCTAAACCTCATTAATTAAAAAGAAAAAAAAAAGTGGAGGCAATGAACTGAGCCTGAGTAAAACGAATGGCCTCTTGGATGCACAGGTAGTTGTTGCCTGCCTTCTGTTTATAGCTTCCAGGTTCAGCACCACGTGCACTTGAATAACAGCCAAATCATCTCAGCCTTTGGGAGGTTTGTGTAGGCTGACAGCCCACGTGTGCAGTCAGAAGTGAATGGTGCAGAGCTTTGCTGAAGCAGAGTTCATAAATCATCAGGGTTGGAGAGGTTAAAGAGAATTACAGAGCTCACATTTATGCAAACTTTTTTTAAGTAAGGCCTATATTGCTAAGGAATGAATTGTTAGAGTAGCTGGGTATAGACTTTTATAACATCTAATAGTACAATCTCTGAACTTCAATCATCTATCTAGAAAGATGCTTACACAGAATTAATTAGTACCTTTCCTAACAGTCTTAGCAGGGAAAAAAGAAAAGCCCACAACGTGTGGCTTTACTACATCACCACAAATACAGTTAAGGATGATGTCTGTGTATGTTCTATATATATATATATGTGCACTATTGATGGGCTGTGCAGAGCTTCTCAATGCCAAGTTCTTGTGCTAAAACTGATGTGGTTGTTCTGAACTGAAGATTGCTGCTGTTGTTTGGATTATATCTGACACTGTTAAGTGAAGCACCCTTGAAGATGTGTGGGTTAAATAGGAATTGACAGAATGCTTTGACTGTCATTTGAGTTACATGGGGTAAAACTCCCCTAGTCTTTGAGTGAACACTTTGATTTCCAAGTTAAGGCCTGTTAATGTTTAGAGTGTGTGAAGTGGAACATTTCTTTTTTATGTTCTGTGGATAAATTGAGAACTGGTGGTTTGAACCCAGTGTGTGACCCTGAAGGCAGATTTTATTGTTGATAATATATTTGAAGTTCCTGATTGCTAAGTTAACTTTTTTATTTTCTTTCTTTTTTTTAGGCTGGAGCTCTTGATCTATTGAAGGAGCTTAAGAATATTCCCATGACCCTTGAGTTACTACAGGTATGATTTTCTCATTGTTGTTATGTTGCAAATTTTAACTCTGTAATGAAGGTGGAGCCAGCTGATTTGAAAGAAGGTTACACTTTTAAAGTAGATTCCTAGGTCCAAAGTCCTTGGAAGTATCGGTGGTAATCTAGTCTCACTTCACCTGATTTAGGACACTTATAAAAAGTGTTTTTTCCAGTAGAAAACTCTTAAAGCTTATTTTTCTGATTGAGAGTAGTGAATTTTGTCATGGACAAAGGAGAAGAGCTGCTTACAAATTTATCAGACACAGAATCTTACATTTTAACTCTAACACAAATGTGGTGTGTTTCCTTCCTCCTGAAGAAGAATGTACCTGATTACAGCTGAAAACATCTTTTCTTGTGTAGTTAGTTCTGGTTTTGCCTTGTAAGTGAGGAGAAACATAGTTGATACCTTTTAGGCAAGTTTTATTTGACACACACTCCACATCCCCCCTCCATCACTCTGAGGAATGTACTTCTTAAAGTATATTCCTCTTTTACTCTCCTGGGCTGGAGATGGAGGGGTACAATCTCTCCCAGTTGCACGGATGCTCTCACTAATGTTGTTTAGATTTACATCTTTAACAGTATTTCATATATTATTTGTAAATTCTTTCAAAAAATAAACTTGGTCAACTTTCCTTACATGTCAAGTTTTAGAGCTTGACCTGTAATTCATCAGTGAGCAACTTTTGTTCCAAACTAGCCAGAAATTTCCTATGTGTGCAAATTTTAAAATGTCAAGAGTTAAATCTGAGACCTGATTTGCTGTAGTAGCCATTTAAATTGGAGGAGACCGAAAAGTAACTTTTTTCTAAGGGGCAGTTAATGGTCACAGATAAAGAATTAGCTATAAAGTTCAAATTTTAAAGGTGTCAGAAGCAATGACATTTTTGATTCATGTGTCCTTGTCCATGTGTCATATACTTGCAGAATGTATTTAGTAAGTTGTTACTGATACTATTTCTGACAGACAACAGGAACTTTTATGCATGAATGCTAGTACAACTCTGATACTTTGTCCCCTATGTTCAACCTTCTTCTTTAAAAAGAAAACAAACTCAAAGCCCCAGAGAAAAAATACCCCACACAAAACAAGAGCAAAACCAAGGAAACCCCTCTGGTTAACCTGATTCTTTGGAGTTTCTTTTTGCAAGTCTTAATGCAAATTATATTTTGCATAAGTATAATGATGTTCCTCTGCCTTTGGAATTAAAAATCTCTCTTCAAGTGCTCTGGAAATTCAAGTACTCTGGGATACTCTTGCAAAGTGCATTGACTGTACCTTAGTTAGGAATCTTTTCATAAATATCCATTGCTGTATTCAAAACAGTTCCACTGCATAAGCTTGGATTTAGCAACATATTTGGACTCAAATTTACTTTTTTTTTTGAAGCAATGGTGGACTTGGAGTAAAGAGTTGAAATGCGAAGTAATCTTACTCATTGCTCTGACCGTGGATCATTAGTGTGCCGCTGTCAAGAAGGGTGATGATCATCAGTTAGTGGAGGCACTGTCTTCCTCTGTGTAGATCAGGACTTCTGAGAAATGTGTTTGAATTGATGAAATGCAGAACATAAATGAAAAGCATACTTCCATACCCATTTTTAAGAAGTTTTGAAAGCTGGCTACATCAAGAAAAGCCCTGCTAGCTGTTATTCCTGTGTAATACCACTGCTACTGCAGCCTGAAATGATGAGGTCCTCTGACTAGTTTTACAGGTATGTGCAATAGGAAGGTGCATATTAGTAGTCTGGGCTTGTGCTGGTGACTTTTGTTTTTCTTGCCACATGTATTTTCACAGAAAGCTGAAGTGATTACAGGCAATAATACCACTGTGTTACATCTGATGAGTTTTATGTAAGCAAGCTGATCCTTGCTCAGCTAGGCAGTGAGCCAGTAGGCTTCCTCACACAATTTATCTGGTGGTCTGACTTGCAAATCTGTTTAGCAGCTTGATGGCATTAGAGGCATTGTGTCCCTGCTGCTAATTGTGGTTAGTGCACAGCTAAACAGTGAGACAGTCAGGCTTTATTTTAACAAACAGGTTTTACAGGAAATTACACACACATGTGCAGAGCTAGGCTGTGATATGCAGCCCTTGTTAATGGCTTCAGGCTAGTTCACTGGCAAGCAAGCTGTGGAGACCTGGGAACCCAGAGGTGGTTATTCTCCCGTGGTTGGTTTGGCTCTGCTTTGGTCCAAGTGCTCACCAATTCTCTACCCTCATGCACTTAGAATTTAAAGTTGGTAGCACCTCTGCTTGCTTCAGTGGTTGCTCTTCCTCCCCAGCTGTGTTCCTTACATTTTTGCTTTTTTCCTGGTGTAGAGAACACCTGTTGCCACCGTGTGCTCTGCTTTGGGTTCAGTCATAGATTACTTATGCTCAATGCTATTTGCACCTATTGGCCACAGTTTCAATGCTTCAGGGTGAAAATAGCTGTCTTATGCTGTCTTTGATTGTCTTTACTCTGAAAGCAGATGAAAAGTGCTCTAGAATTTAAAGTGGGGAAGAATGAAAATATTGGAGTTTTTCACTTAAAAATGGCAATCACAGGAACAGTTCTACAGACAGGAAGACTAAGGAAATTTCAAATACTGTCAGCTGATTTGCCAGTAAAACATAGTCATTTTGAGAATATAGCACTGATCTTTTGTGACTACCTGTGCCAGTTAGCAGGCAGATGAATTAGTAGATCATTACTTCCTCTCTTCAGGTAGGAAGTTGAAGTCTTGATCCAGTGCTCTATAAAAGCAAACAAATGAGTTGTTTTTATATACTGCTTTAAGAAAACTGGCAGTTCAGACAGTTCCCATAAACTGTCTCATGTGATCAGAAGAAGAAATTTCTCTAGTTAGTTTTGAGTTTTACTTGAGTTTTTTGGATTTTACGTAGCTAAGTAAGTCTGTAAGTTTGTGTGTTTTCCCTTTGCTGATGAGCATAGGCTGTCATTGTCCCCAGGTATTAATTGAAGGTTGGGTTTTTTATTAGATAAATTTTTTACATCTAGATGTGGTATTTTATGGATTTTCAAGGACATGTTATTCTTTATTGTCTGAAAGTAATGTTGAGCTTTAAGTATTCAAAATATCAAGAGAAATGGCCAGTACCATTAATGTGAGTGAGCAGAGTCCATCATGGAACACTTTAGTTACAGGTGAGTAACCATCTGTTTTCTTTAATCCAAAATATGTGTTTAGACCTGATGCTCAGGCCTGAGGTTATTTGATGTGTTTCCTTGGCTGAAATAGCTACGGATTATTTAAGTATGTTTCCAGTCATTTAGCACATCCATGGTGCCTCAGAAAGTATTGTTTGGGTTGTAAGAAGTAATTTCCATTTTTAGCAAGCTACAAAGATTTAAATTTTCCTTTCATGAAGAAGGAAGTTTATGATGATCTATTGCAAAATTGAGTAATTTATATTTACTGAGTTCTGTACATGGCAATGCAACAAAACTGAGTATCTTAACAACAAATAAAAAAAGTTTAGTCCTCAGTCAAAACACAAAAAGATACTAAAATCCTTTGTATTGTTAAATGCTTTTCTCCTATTGTGAAGCTAAAAGGGTGGAAATTTTCTCCTTGATACATGAACACATTAGCCATAAATCTTCTAAAATGTTACTGTTGCACTTAATTTATGTCCTCATTTTTTGAGTCTTGAAAGGCATGAATTGTCACTCTCATAATCACTCTGTAGGTGGCAGTAGCGGCAAAGACTTAAAGCTTGTCTTGGCCTTTTCTGATAGGATAGCTCATTCGTTAAAATCTGAAACACAGAGAGCTCTGCTTCTATCTAAAGTCAGACCTCTCTGTGCTAAGGATTCTAAAGAATCTCAGTGTCACCAAAATTTTTAGATACTTAAAACGTGCTTTCTCCCAGCTGGTATTACAGATTTTTCCACAGCCACTAAATGGGAATTCTAGGAGTATGATGTCAGTGAAGAAGTTAAGTAAGCTTCTTATAATGCCAAAATATAAATACAGTTCTTAACCCTTGTGCCCACCATCACTGTCCACCCATCCCCAAACTTTTGTGCTGAAGACAGACAATAATATTTTTAAAATGTCCATGTTATTAAAATAATTTTTATAAAGGCTTGCAGTATTTTTTCCTGATAATCACAAGAAAAAAGGAAACAAACACACCACAAAAGAAAAAAGATACTGTAAAAGTTAATGTCAAAGCACAAATTTATATATGCTTATTTGTTAAATTGTCTTCATGTCACTTGTGATAATGTACATTTCTATTTCTTTTGCAGTCTACCAGAATTGGAATGTCAGTGAATGCAATTCGCAAGCAAAGCACAGATGAAGAGGTTACGTCTTTAGCAAAATCTCTTATCAAGTCTTGGAAGAAGCTGCTAGGTATGGCAACAGAAATGTCCCTGCTCTTGTGTGTTTTAGCTGTGTAGCCTTGGTGCTCATCATCGACCCTGCCTTGCTTTATACATATTTGTGTTTTTATGTGAATGTTGAAACTTCCTGCACTGGTGAAATTGGTTTTTTTACTCTTTGACCGTCACCAGGCCATTACTGAGAGAGTGTGTGTAGAGAAACGGTTAATGGATTTTATTGGGGCTGGCAGGCAGTAGGAAATCAGATTCTCTGACATGATTCATTTCTGAAGTCTCATTACCTGAAGTTGAGCTGGAGTGACTGTACTGCAGCACTAGGCATTAATAGACCTCTTCTTGATTATTGTCTTTGTCAAATACAACAAGTACTCTGAAGAACTGGTGTTAAATCTCATGTGAGAATGTGGAGGCTTTGAAGTTTGGTTATGAAGTGATTTGTGAAGAAAAAAAAAACCCAGTAGAAATTATGTTGAAATCTGCTAGAACTTACAGGTAGAGAGAAACAGAGCTGCACTTTATAAAACCTTCATAATTTTAAACAGCTTACTAATTAGTGACCTAATACCTTTTGTTTAATTTCCCTTAAAATAATTAATACACTTAAAACCTTTCTGTTAGGATTTTATTCAAGGGTATTTGGTAGTACTTAATATATCTGAAAACACCTAAATCTCAAAATGCATCCAGATATTTTTGTTCATGCACTGTGGTACACTCTGTTTTGTTTCTTTGTATGTAAGTTTAGGTAAATTAAGATTTTTGAAGCTAAAATTTTAAAATAGAAAACACTTTACATTATGATTTAGGTATTTACTATTTTATCTGGAAAAATATGCCAAATACCAGGAGGGTGTGAGTCCCCTACCATTTGAACTCAGCCTCATTTTTACCAACTGTGAAGTGTTTTATCAGATAAATTATTACTGTCTTGTAAATGACATAGAAAATACTCTGTGGACAATTTGTCAGAACTTTAAACTTTGATGCTCTCGTAAGAAACAACAGCCTGTGTGGCAAACCTTTTTAAGCTACATTAAAAACTTTTAACCTACCTACTAATAATGTTAGTTTTAGTAGTTAAAATTAGATGATACTAGACATGCTGGTAAAATACCTTTAAATTCATAATGACCTTTATAGCAAAAATAAATGCCTATCAGGATCTTAGTGTAGGATCTAATCAGAATTAACTGGTAAATAGTGAAAATAATAAACTTTCTATTTTCAAATTTAAATGTAGAAGTCCGGCTTTATTATATCAGTATGTAAAAGTGGTAAGATATGTAAGTAGAGAAATTTACTTGCATATTAGCATCAGTTACTTTAAAGACTTCTAAAAGTAGCTGCTAGACTGAGTGATACAGCTCTCAAGTTATTAAAATTTATTAGTCTAAGTTTTAGAAACAAAACCCTATCAACATTTGGTGAGAGTTATTTTTTTTTTCTTGGAAGGTCAAAATTTTAATACTGCAACTTAACTTAGACAACATAGCAGAGGAGATACTCTCATTTCCAACAGAATTCTCATTGGGAGTGTGCTCAGATGCTGCTCTCTTTGGGGAGTGGGAGATCTGCCTGGTTATCACTGTCCTTTGACTAAACAATTTGCCACTTGTTCATTGAGAAACTAAAAATAATTGTCTTGTTTATTTAACACTTGAGTACCTTAAGTCAGTCAAAATTGTATTAATATGTTATTATGTAAAGTTTACTGGTGTTTGAGTGTTCAAACATTGTGACACATGGGGAGTGTCACTCCTTCCTGGAGGGTTTCCATGCTGTAGAAGTCTGGGTGAGAATGTGGTGCCAGAAGGTCACGGTAGGTCTATCTGGGTGTAGGCTGCTGTGCAAAGGAGCAGTCCTGACTTCCGTTCTGCACAGGAGCCTCTTTGCTCTCTCTTGTGTTACAACTAATGCTGGAGTGGCTATCCAGAAGACCAGAGCTGGGAACTGACCACTTAAAAACCAATTGTTTTTTTCATTCCTTCTGGCTTAAATTTCAACTATCACTTTTTGGTCCAACCTGTTTGCAGTTACTATTTCCTGCACAGGGACTGTAGAAGTAGCAAACAGCTGGGGCAAGGTGGACCTTCTCCTCTCCTAGCTTTCTATAATCAGATTGTTTTAACACAGTTGGGAGACTCTACCTAAGGCTTTTTGCATGAGGTGATGTCAAACATGTATGGAGCTGGAAAGCAAATAATAAATATTTGTTATTTATCAGAACTGAATACTTCTTGAGGCAGTGGGTATGTGACTTTCGTTCATGTGCTAATTTTTGTTACAGAACATATTGTTGTTTGTAAATTATTGTGCTAGCTCTAGTAGAGTTGTGGTAATGCACTTACTATATAAAGTCAAGTTAATCCTAAAAATATAGCACTGCTTACATTCAAAACTTAGGTAGATAAATTTTCCGTGGCTGTAATGTAGATCCGATAATAAGGCATAGTAAATGTTCTGCCTCTTTATCGCTGCTCAGTAACTCATTAGAAAATGAAGTTTCATAACTGTGAAAGACAGGGTGTAAGTATGGGTGGGAATCTTACAAAGTACTCTTATTCTGTTTTATCATTAGTTTTGACTTTCTTGGAAGAATACGAAATACCGTATGTTGGGCTGCTTGAGAAATCAGTTTCGATAATGCGTTTATAGTGCATGTAAAATGGTATGGAGCAAAGATGGCAGCAGAAGCGGACAGCTGTTAATCGTACCAAGCATTGTACTCAGAGCTCTGAAGTCTTTGTGAGTTATTTTTATAAATAACATTTTGAATTTAGGCAAGAATTGTTGACTGTTCAGGCTGCATGTAATGTTTCAGTTCAATGCTATCAAATTTTAGTCTTTAGGAATGCATGGGAAACATGAGAACAAATCAAAGTGAGTTGTGAATCACCAGATCTATGTGGCTTGACTCAGGCCTTCCCAGGTTACCAATGTTTTATTGGAGGGGTTGGAAGCTGTGCAGCACGGGGCTTGTGACCATTGTCTGAAGCCACATTGCAAGGTCCCTTTCAGATACTTTCTGAAAGTTAAACTACACAGCAGAGATGGTCACAATTTGCATAAGGAGCTAAATTCAGCTCTCCAAATAAAATGCTGCTCAGTTATAACATTGGATTTACAAATAATTGTTTTGCCAAGTAGCTGAGTATACAGAGTATGCTGTGCAGATAATTAATCTATGCACACTCATTTAGGTTGTCAGGAGTGTTTTTTGTGTTAGAAAAGCAACAAAAATCCCTTAAGGAATATAACTCTCATAATAAATAATTACGTGCTGAAGTGAAGAGTATACAGTGAAAAAGAATGTCCAGACCTCTAAGTAAACTTCCGTCCTCTAAGTAAACTTTATATAGTAACTTTATTTACGGAACTAAAAAATACAGAACGACAGCACAATGTTCTTAACACTAAGTGAGCATCTGTTACCACTATTGAAAACTAAAAGTAAGGCCACAAACATTTTGAAATGCCTGTTTCAAAGAAGGACATGCCTGAGTAATTTTATTTTAAAAGAGTGTTTATTTGTTAATAATGCTAATCAGGCATCACAGAAGTATTTTACTAATATTACTTTGCTCACAAAATCCTTTGTTATTTCAAACTTGGATTTGATTCTCCTGGAGCCAGCAGGTGCAGTCTAGGACTATCTTACTGGTATGTTAGTGCTGTCATAAGTGAAGTTGTTCAAGGACATCTCAACTTATTGGCTTTGCCAAAAAAAAATGTTCCTGGCAAAGCAAGTTCTTAAATTAGAGTGTAATAGCATTTACAAATATTATTTATTATTGATAAGAAGAGTACATGTCTTTGTAAGACATGCAAAAACAATTTCAGTAGTTTCATTTTCATATCTGGTATGAGCTGTAGAAATCACCTCCTGTCAAGTGTATATTTGGAACTGTTCATGTACTGTTAATAGGTCTTGATTTGTTAAGCTAATCAGCAGAGAGATAACAATACACAATGCATTATACTATATAAGAGAAAAACACAATAGTGAATAAGTCCGTGTATCATGGTCTTTTGTCAGTAATGATAAAAAAATCTTTAAAAATAGCAAACAGTTCATAATTTGGTTGTTTATATACGGATTTTTATATATTCCTCCTCCCAGTGCTACTACTGAAAAGAAACTTTAATGAACTTACCTTCATGCCTTAGTATATCTTGCAGAGGAATTGCTGACAAGTGTAGCTGCTTGTGCATCTCAAGATTATTTGGTCAGAGTCTGGAAAATGAAGCCTAAATAACTATTAAATGTGAAGGTCGTTGTTAAATTAATAACTGTATAATTTGATACCTGTTCTCTTTTCTCTTTAACTTATTTAAACCAAATACTCAGGAAACTTTCCAAGTCCTGGTGGTGATTCCTGAGTAGGCAACGCACAGTATCCCGCTAAATTAAATTTTCATGTGCTTCCAGGTAATAACTAGCCACCTTTCATTAACGTTTCTGGAAAAATTTTTTACTTTAATATTTTTCTTAATTTGAGATTAGATTTATAAATTAATAATATTGCATCTTTATATTTTTTGTTTTTTCTTATTACTAGCAAATGTCTAGTGTTGGCTTATAATACAGTTAGAAAAATTTAGGAGAAGGCTATTAATGGCCTCTAACATTCAGATAAATTATGTTATTTGGCTGTGTCTTACTACATTAAAATTTTTTGTTCAATTGCACATACTACTGTTCTGTTTTATTTGACCCTGGAGAAATTTTTCATTGGAGAAGCTTCAAGTATCTTTCAAATTAATTGCAAGTCCAGGTAGAAGCTGCAGAGCAGCTGTTAAACTTTGAATGTCTTATTCCAGTGGCTTATAGTCTGTTCTTGTTACTACCATGTTCTTTGTATTTTAAAGAAGAAGTGTTAATATAAATTAGCTTCTCTTACAAAAAACCAAAGCTTTGAGGTTTTTTAATGGCTACCTGAAGATGCAGTAGCTAAAGCTGCAAAGTTAAAATTGTCAGTCCTAAAATTGGTTACAGTTTCCATTTGTTTCTGAAGCACAAATTAGTAAGTTTGAATAGCTGTATGGGGTGCAAAAAGGAACTGCACAACTTGTAGTTTATATTATATAAATATTTATAATGTTCTGTAGACTTCCTGAGGTGAATCACATTGGAATTTTTAAAGGCATTTCACAGAAAGGCTGTTTTTTCCCACCTTACTATGTTAGAATTTCTGTGGTTGTTCATAGTTCTCATTTCTTCCTTTCTATTAGAGTATGGTCATTGAATGTAAAATAAGCTAATTAGTAGGGACTTTTAATTTGTCAAGGATAATTTTTCTTTCCCCAGAGGACAGATGAAATGCTGCCTAGCAGGCTGTTAATTGGACTCTGTTCTTTTGTCAATACAGTATTTCAATAAAACAAGATATGTGAGTTTAAAGATAGAAAGCATCTTTTCTAGTGCTTTCCAATTTATGATCCATAAGAGCAACTTAAGCACTTAGGATAATATTAACTTTATTTTCAGCATTCTGAAACTAGATTAAGCAAAAATATCTATAAACTCTTAAGTGATTAAAGAAGCTGTAGTTTTGAAGACATACATGCTGAAGATGTCCAGTCTCAGCTGCTCAAGCCTGACCTTGGTTTGAGACATCCTTGCATTGACTGGTCTGCAGCTATAGGAGGAGCTGTGCTTTTATCAGTGTGCTTTGTGTATACCCTGCCCTCCATAAGGGAAAGAAGCTATTGGGGTATTGGCAGGTGTTGGCAGGTGCCTGCCCGTGGTGAAATGGTGCTGGGCTAAATGGAAGTGTTTTTGATAAGAGAGATCTGTGTGCCAGCTATACCACTGTGGTGTGTATGCTGCATAATAAACAGGAGATACACAGGGCAGACCTGAATTTGACAGCCTGTGTGCCAGAAAACAAAGTGTAGGTAAAGGGGCTGAAGCAGAGGTCCTGCTTTGCAGACATGAGCTGTACCCCAAGATACCTGTTTGATCTACTGGTTTGTCTTAAAGCCTCTGACAGAAATGAGCATGTACTTAAAACATTATGAAGTAAAATGAGATTGTGTGCATATTTGGAGCATCTCTAAAGATTATATCATGTAATCAGTTGTTGCCATAGAGAGAGTGAGTATGCATGTTAAAAATGGGAGTTGTTTTCTTTCTCTTAGTGCACTTTAGTTGTCATAGCAGAGAACTCATGTGATCCATTCGGTTTATAGTCTTGTTTGCTTTCTTAGTTAAATTATTTTATTAAATTGGTATCTTTATTAGGAATTCTTTAAATAACATCTTCAGCTTATTAAAGGCAGCCTGAGTGCATCATCTGTGTTTAATTATCTTCCTTTTCTTAAACAAAATTCATCAAGGATTGAATACAGCATTGCAAACAATGGGCGAGCTCTCGAAGGCTGGGGGAATACTCTGGAGAAGTATCTTGTGCTTTTCTGGTTCCTGTTCTATTTTGTGTGTATCTCTTTATAGGTGCAGCTGGAGACAGAATAGTAGATTGGTCCCTGGTCTGATCCAGTGGTGCTGTCTCTACTCTCTTTTTATGATTTTTTTTTAATAAAGTGGTATTTGATTAGATAAATTCCTTAACTCACAGGTTTAGGAAAGGATCAAAATCACATTCAGTTTATTGTTCCTATAAAAAGAAAGCCAGTACAGTTATTTTCTACTCTATAAAAATTAAAAGCTCAGTGTTTGAGGAGACCCAAATTTTTGTGTTATGTACAACCAAGTTCCTCTGAGAAGCACAGGTACGGGGTTCCTCTGGAAGTAAGGATGCTTATAGATGCTTAAACAAGGATTTACATGCTTAGTTCAGGACATCTTTGTTGGCAAGACTGAGCCTTAACAGATTTCCCTCCTTTTCTTGTTCTGCTTTTAATTAATTTTAAAGTTTGTAATATATTCTTATTCCAGTAATACAGTCTACAAATTTAGAAGTGTAATAGCAGCTTTATAAGGGCTCAGAAAGAGGAATTCACGAAATCTGTCACTCAGTGATGCCAATCTCACTAGGTTTTCTCTGTAGGCAGCAGAGAGCCAGCCTTTCTAGAGAACAAATCAAAGCAGGCACTCAATTTAGCCACTCTGAGATCCTCTTTACAATAGAAGGGTGTATGCATTCTTGCTGTGCTGGAGTTAAATGTTGTGATTGCTCTTTTCCATAAAGACTTTTGTCTTTATTCGTTACAAAATTGTAGTGAAATATAACCTTTATGGGAATTGCAGATTCAAATATATTTAAATACTGAGGCAAATAATTTAAGTGCTATCACAGAAGATACTGTCTGTGTGTCTGGAAAACTCATTCAAAAATATGAAAATTACTTTATATTTTGCCAGCAATGGTGTCTTCCACAATATAATTAAAAAGAATGGCATGTATGTAGTAGGAACTTAAGTATATAAAACATGGAAGACAAATTCCAGAGACTTGATGCAATACCTAGGAAGTTACTGTCTACCTAATGCAGGAGTGTTGGAAAAAATAAATCATGGAAGTCTTTGTTTCCATCATGTTTTCACTGCCAGTTTACGCAGATGCTGGACTTGACTCGAAGGATCCTGAAGTGTTGTCATGTTTTCCATTTCCTGCGTTGGGAGGGTGTTGGGAAGTGGAAGGCTGTGCTGCGAGAGAAGGTCAAAGCAGAGAGTGGGAGCTGATAGCATTTCCAAGTGGTTCAGGAGAAATCATGATATTTTACCGCTGCTTTAAATCAGTTACTATTTCTGGGTAGAAGAGAGTTTCTCATGTTTTGTATTTCCAGATGGACCTTCAACTGATAAAGATTCTGAAGAAAAGAAAAAGGAGCCTGCATCTTCCTCACAAAACAGCCCTGAAGCCAGAGAAGAAAGGTGCTTAATTCTTATTGGCTGTGCAAATAATCTCACTCAGTTTAAATTGACATTAAACTGTTTGGTCCAAATTTGTCATATTACAGACAGCTGCCATATTCTTTTCTGAAAGGCAGAGCTGTACAAGAAACAGTGTGTTGTTGGGGAAATAAACTGTGCTACTGTTGACATGAAAAAAAAAGAAAGACATAGGTCAAGATATGGCCAGACAAGTTTATTGTTTATTCCATCTGTTGGGTCTGTCAAATACTCTGTCCTCTCTCAGTACTAGCACCCAGCTTTGAGAACTGTAAAACGACTTTCAGCCTCTGCTTTGTGGTAATTGCATATGCTTCTTCTGTATGTTAGCTTTTATGTTTAATAAACATTGCACTTTTTTTTGGTAAACACAAAATATGTTACCAGAAAAAAAGCCTACATTAATGCCACTGCAGGAGATGAAGAACATTTACAAAAGAGTATTTGCAAGCCCATTTCTTCTATACATTTCTGAGTTTAGTGATCTCTGTTCAGCAGCCATTTTAAAATTGAAGCTTAACCTCTAACTGTATGTCCAGATGGAAGCTGAAAACTTGGTTTACAGTTTGCAAAACTACATAAATTGAGGGGGGGGAGGGGGTGTGACCATAGCACCCCTTCAATACAGTAAGCAGATTGAATGCAAGGCATTTGCTGCAGAGTGAATGTTGGTGTGATGTATCGTCACTGTTTTATAAAGTAAAGTTCCGTGGGAGGAAAAAAAGCTTTCATGTTAATGTAAAGAACTGAGAATTAAAGCTTATGTGCCACATAATGGAATGAAATACCTGCTATGTCTCTATTGTGTGGAATACCCTAGTGAATAGTCTAAAGACACTTTAAAAATTGCTTTGACTCTAGAGCTATAAATAACTTTAAAAAGGTGGCCTGTGCTCTTATTTTCGAATGCCATCAAAAGGATGTAGCAAAAGACCCGTATTTTGCTCAGAAACAAAGTTATTTGAAGAAGGGGAAAAAAACATTAATATTGGTTTTCATTTTGCCTTTCTTTAGCAGTTCAAGTAGCAATTCCAGCAGCAGGAAGGAGGAGGGTAGTGCTCCCTCAAATTCTTTCATCCCTTCTTTTCCCCGGGCACCAAGCACTTCAGACTCTGTAAGAGTGAAATGTAGAGAAATGCTCTCTGCAGCTCTCAGAACAGGAGGTGAGCTTTGTAGACTATTTTTTCAAGTTTAACTATTTCCTTCACTGTTTTTGTCTTTCCCACTCTACTTGTTCTCCTGTCCTGTAGGGTAGACTAAACCCTGTTTGTGTCCATTTGTGTGTAGACCCATAAACCAGTTCACCCAAGCTGCAAGTAATGAGTAACCTTGACAGCATGGGAATGTTTCAAAATGCATTTTTGTTGCTGCTAATTGAGGACATTTTGTGGCTCAGTTCATCTGATACCTTGCCAATAGGGGATCTTCTTTTCAGGAATGTTATTGCCTCCTTAATTCTTCATTTAAATCTTTTTGTAGAGGCTGCTATTTTTTTTGTCTCAGTCTTTTTGACTGAGAGGGTGTGGCTATATACAAGACTGTCTTTCTTACACCAGAGGTCCTGGGAACCTTCAGATTTTAGTTTTTGAAGGCTGCCTATCTGTTTTGATTTGTTCCTGACATTTCAGCAAGATGCAATAAGAGAGTCTTGCATTGCTCTTAACCTCAATGCCTTTTGGGTATCTGTAAATTCCTTGACTGTTTGGGGTTTTTTCTTTTTATCTCTCATGTACGCTTGGGTGTCTTTAAACCAACAAATTGAATGATTTGCTAGATAAGGAGCAAACTGAAAGCTAGACTTTTCAGATTTTTTTATCTGATTTTTTTCCTGGTGCATTTTTCTCTTTATCAAAATTATGACCCAGCTCCTGTTTCTCTGTTCATATCTTAGTGTAACTTGGCCCACTGTAAGTAGACTTCTGAATCATCTGTGTTTATTCTCTTCACTCCTTTATTCTTTCTTTTAATTCATATAAATTCATGTATAGACAACAAGCAAAGCTGACTAAAGACCATGAATTTGTGGTCATCTGGATATATAGTTCATAGACTTCTTTTGGGAGCAGTCACGTCTTAGTATCATAGCATCTTAGTATTCATAATTCTGTAAAGTCTTCATTTTAGATAGTTTTCCAGAATACTTTTTTGCTATGTTGCTTTTTGCAGCACATATAAACTGATGTTCCATATCAAAATAAGGTTATTTTTTTATTTTATGGCCTTTGGTATGAGACCAAAGGACAAATGATATTTGGAATACTCACTGAGATACACCCATACTGAAACGAGGAGGCAAACATTGTATGTAATTTGTTCTTAATCTGTCTTGGAAAGGTAGATTTCTTTGTGAGGAAGTGTTTTGGTCAGAAACAGTAAACAGTTATCTTAAGACATTTTAGTTGAAGTGTTGTATTGCCTTCAAGACTGCTGTGGTCTATTTCTTCTAATTTGCATGTTTTATGACACGTCTCTGCTTTGCAGTTAAAAAAAAAATCTAATAAGATTGTTTGTTATTTAATTACTATGTTTCTAATAAAATCTTTCTCTTCCATGCATGCAAAACATTTATTTGCTTATTCTTGTATTGTGTGGACTAAAACAATTGATTAAACACAATATAAAATGTTTCCCTTTTATAATTGCCTGTTCTGTGCACAGGCTGTGGAGATGGGAGAGATGCCAACCCTTTTGGAATATTTTAGGTTTTTCTGTATAGCAATGTTTTTTGTTTCTATTTGTGTTTACAGTTAGGTGTCAGACGTTTTTTGGTTTTTAAGTGTTTTTAACTCTTAACCTTCTGTTCTGCTTCTTTCACTTATTTGTGTTCTTCCAAGTAAGAAATTTTGAAAGTTTAAGTACACAGTAAATTAAAATTACATATATAAAAAGGTGTTTTATAATTTGCTGAGTTTCAGAGTTCTGGAACTATAGGGATCTCAGGTATATAGAACACAGAGTGTCAGGTTGCTAATATTTTATCATTTGTTTTCCTCAGATGATTACATTGCTATTGGTGCTGATGAAGAAGAGCTGGGTTCTCAGATTGAAGAAGATATCCTTTGTTGTATATCTGTGTGCTCTAGAGCAGGAGTGTTTTTAAAAAACAGTAATTTTCAAATTAATTAACTTGATCTATATATTGAATGTTTTTGTATTTCATATGAAACAAAAATGGCACTGTGTTCAACACATCAGTACATAAATTTAGTGTTTAAAAAACCAGCCCAACCTAAATGATTTGCCTTAAAATATGTAGGAATGCATGTAGGTGAGTGTGAGTGGGTTCTTTTCGGCTCAATATGTTTTCCTTGTAGCAGCAATATTATATCTTACTGAAGCATTCTTACATAAAATGCTGGGCTCTTCTACACTGTTTAAAAATCTTTTCTTGTTAACAGTCTTAATCATTTTCTAGTGTCTTTATTTAATTTTCTACATGTTTATTTCTAAATGGATTTGCAGTTTTAAAAAGAGTGGTGTGTTTGAACAGTTCCAGAACAGAGATCTGCACTTCTTTTTTTAACAAAAGAAAAAAGTGTTAGTGAACTGTCATTGTTTGAATATTTGGTTCAGAATTGAATTAATTTTCAGGATGAGGTCAGTAAACTGGACATAAACTTATGGGTGACTTTTTACTGTTACAGTTGAGGTCTTACTGCCCAAAAATTCATATTTCACTAAGCCTGTGCTAAACTATGATTAGGCTTCAGAAGGTTGTGACTTCTGCTGTATTGAACAGGAAAGTAGCTGTTGGTTGGGGTGGGGAGAGAACTTGATGGGCAGTGGAGGAGTACACTGATTTAGAACTTGCCCCCAAAATGAATCTTTTCTAGTTCTCTGTTTTGCTTGTTAATGTTTTGCTCTATTTTACTTATCCATGTTTTGTTCCTTAATTCTAAAGCACCTATTTTTCAAGAATTAAAAAACACTGATATGAAATACAAAAATAGGGTACGAAGTAGGATAGCGAATCTCAAGGATGCAAAGAACCCTAACCTAAGGAAAAATGTATTATGTGGAAACATTCCTCCTGACAAGTTTGCCAAAATGACAGCAGAGGTAAGTAAAGCACAGGTCTTGAACTATTTCCCTCTTGGTCTTACATCCTGGCCTGTGTTTATTAGCCACAAAAGTAATTTGTGTAAGCTGCCCGTAGTTCTGAAAGACTGTGGCTTTTTTCTGGCTTGCAGAATCTGAATTACAGGGCTGTGTTGGGGTAGAGGCCATGAAATTGTCTTTACAAGTCAAAATAGATCTAGAAAGTCAAATGAAGAAATAGATTTTATCGGAGAGGAAAATGAAGACGCATCTTGTTAACATCTTGTTTCAGTTCTGTAGTTCTGCTTCTGTGTGTTAGGTTCTGCCCCCTCACATGAGGTATAAAGGAGTGTCTTGGAGACTGAAGGGAATTATTATGGTCAACTAGTGCAAATCATGACTAACTTTATTCCAAAAGAAAGTTGTGGTGGGTTTTTTTTGTTGGTTGGCTTTTTTATTAACTACAGTTTCACATAAAGGTTAGGGCAAACAGAGTCTGGTGAAAGAAAGTGTAAAAAAAGCAAGTTTTACCTTCAGTATGTATTTTCATTTTCTTTGTTCTACATGTTTATGTACATATGCACAAACATATGTTTTGTCTTGTCCAGTGCATTGATTAGTGTTTTGGATTAAAGTGTCAACGGCTAAAACCCCCTTAGTGTTAAGATTACTTCTGAAGTGAAGCATTGATGCAAGATTTTCATTCCACACCTACATGGGATGGTGAATAAAATTTTATTGAAGAAAAATGTAACAAACTGGTTTTGCTGTGTTCACTTGATTGCTAGACCTTCTGGGGATCTTGTGCACTAAGACTGTTTTAAGAGAAAAATAAAATGGGTGATTCTGAACTATTTAGTTAGTGTTTAGAAACTAAGTTTATATGATTTCTGGTGAAATATGTTAAATTATGGCTGTACTGTATTTATCAGTACAAATATGGAAGTAGTCAAAATAATGTAAATTTTTTTCTATAATAAATGTTATGCAGGTCAATGAGATAATTATCCAAGGATCTGACCTAGGGAGAGCATCTTTTTTGCCTCTTTGGAGAACTTTTAAGTCCTCTATCTTGCCTTGCTTAAGTTTCTGAACTTCAGAAGTGTATTTACATAGAAATGTTTCTAGATGTTTGATGTTGTACTTTTTTTTCCCTATCCGTGTTAAAAAGGAGAACATTTTTAACTTCTTGTAGCTTCTGTGCTGTGAAATATCCCAGCTTAAGTCTTGTAAAATTAAAAATGTGTAGAATTACATGGCTCTTCAACAGAGTTGTTGTTCATGGATTCTAAATAAAAAATTGTATTGGCTCGCACTGTGGTAACTTGTTTTAAAGCTAAAACTCTCTAGTAAACTCTGTATGCTCTTTGTCCTTTATAGGAAATGGCAAGTGATGAGCTGAAAGAAATGCGCAAAAACCTGACCAAAGAAGCCATCAGAGAGCACCAGATGGCTAAAACAGGAGGTACCCAAACTGATCTGTTTACATGTGGCAAGTGCAAAAAGAAGAACTGTACATACACCCAGGTGCGTGATTATCCAGACTCCTAGTTTTCCTTTTTCAAACCTTAAGTCCTATATAAAGATAGTCAGAGAAAAAAATTGGTATTGCAAAATGAACTTTTAACGATATGCTGACAAATTACAAAATGTGAAGATAGCTGGACCTACTTAGTTGTGCTTATGTAAAGCAAGTTTGTTGTATTTATTTGCCACACATTTTATGTAGATCGAAGCCAAGTATCTGTATAGATTGAAACTTCAGTTTCTTTGCAGTGCTGAATTTTTGCTAACTCTTCTTAATACATTATATTGATAAGGGGTTTATGTGGAGGAGAGATACTGTTTTTAATGTGCATAAGCTTATTTTTACAGAGGGACTAAATAGCAGAAAATTATATATACATACATACACGTGTATATTTTTTACATATATTTAATGTGCCATTTGACCAACACTAGACCCTGATTTACAGTCATTCCTACAGCCACAGAAAGGGTGCTTTAATTTGTTTAACAGTGCTTCAGGGAATGTAATTTTCATCATAGAATCAGCTGCATTTATACTTTATATTTATCAAATGCTTTAAATAGCAAGCTGTTTTTCAGTCATGAGACTTTTAAGCCTTTGCATCAGTAAATGTGTGTGAAGGTGTACTGGACATTGTACTTTTAGTGCAGAATCTGCTCCTAGAAATATGTGCACAGTTTCAGTGCAGGAATTGGTATTTTACTGCTACTAAATCTCTCAGAATCGGAATTTATATAGGAAGGCAAAAAGCCCAGTTTTAGTTGATACATAAAGTTAACTTGTATTTTATGCAAATTTGTTTCCTTAATGCTAAACTTTGATTTAAACAGTTACATTGAACACACACTAACAAAAATTGAAGATACTAATTTTCCTTTTCCACTCTGGCTCTTGCCTTTGCCAAAGGTTCAAACCCGCAGTGCTGATGAACCCATGACAACGTTTGTTGTCTGTAATGAATGTGGAAACAGATGGAAGGTAAGACTGTTAGACTGCTCTGCATATTTGATAGCAGGCAGCCAGCCTCTGTGGTTAATTTGGGTTTACAGTAAATGTGACAAACCATTTTCTGTTCACTTTTAGTTACTTCTTAACCCATTAGTGATATTGCAAGTAGAGATTGCAAAATAGCTTTAAATTAGAAATGTATTTTTCACTGATGGTGTGAGATCTCTCAAGTAGGTTGGTGCCAAAGGAGGGGAGAAGTCAGGACTTAGTCCTTGCAACATTTAGTTACAATACTGCTTTGCCATACAATGTGGTGACAAGCTAATCACTGTGTTTTTGCTTTCTTTACCCAAAGTTCTTTTAACTGGTTTTAATCTCTGCTTTGGTGAGTGTAAAAGGCCTTTTTTAGACCTTTTGTTGTTATTGTTTTCTCTGTTTTTTTGCTATTCTGAAAAGAAGAAGCAATAAAAACAGAGAGATGACTGCTGCTGTATTCCTGTGCCAGGATAAGTGTAGGGCAGTGATAACTTAATTGAATATTTTTTTCAAGTTTGGGAAACAGGAATTTATAAAGTTTCTAAGAAACACTGGTAGTTGAATAAAATGGAGAAACACTTGTTTACTTGAAGGCCTGTAAAATTTACAGGTTAAGGTGTGATTGCATGCCATAGGAAGCATGATAACCTCATTCTCTTATTTTTCTATGTTAAGAACACTGCAGCTCTGTAGGTCCATGCCATGGTATACATTAAAACTGCCACATAAAAAAATATTTTATGCATCTTGGTTTACATAGCTTATTGCTGAATATTGTTCAGATATGTGCTCTGAGATACCTAAATAATATATAAAGCTTAGAAATTGTTTGATGGAATTGCTTGCACTACCTGCAAAAGTACGTTTGTCCTTAAAACCTTTTTTAAGGTGGCAGTTGCAGCAGTGTCTGTATACAGATGCCTGAAGGAATGGTTAAAATATAAGAAAATGCTTTAATTAGTAATTTCCATATCCTAAATATGGTGTTGTATTTCTCTTTCCTCTTGCAAAGATTTAGAACTAAGCTGTATGAAGATCTCATAAAAAATTCTTTTCTTTTGACAGTTCTGTTAGAAGAAGAAGTTGTCAAGACATCTGGACCAGTATGAACGAGGATTTTGTAATTAGCTTTAAAAATTAGGCTAAGCATCTAGCTTCCTGCAAATGAGAGGGTTTTTTGGTTTTTCTTTTATTTCAAAACAGCATACATGCCTCAAGTTAGCCTTTGTTTTGACACAACCATCATTTCCTCTAATGCCTTCCTATAGCTGGTAGTCAGTAGGGCCAGGTTGCTCAATTGTATGGTGAATTTTAAAATATTTTTTCATTTTTATAAGTAAGTTGACATTAAACTTTTACCAGTTAAACATTTTGTAACTGTCTTGTTTTTTTCTAACTGTGTGAGTAATATACTGTATTTTTTGTGGTCTGAAATATACACGCTCCTTCTGTGTGTATTTTGCCTCTCCACATTTGCTCAATTGTCAGAATGAAATGTGTTTCTCTCTGCGCTTTGCTTCTTCACTTTGCTTTGCAAGTAGAAAGGTATATTAGTTCATCATAACATTAAACTCAGCTGTTAACTAAAACACAATTAATTAACTCTCTAGTTTGTTTGTGCTTTTTCTGGACTAGGACTAAATTTGCAGTCATGGGGTTTGGATATTTATTAGTGGATATGATGACCTCTTTTGCAGTGGTTGGTTAAGCTTGTTTATGTAACCAGCTTTAATCAATGCAATATATTTTATTGCCCAAAGCATGTATTTTACATTCTATCAGTAAGGCATTATTTCTAAGACTGTCTTAAAATAGTGGTTAAATCTGATTTGAGTGTTCATTCTTGTTTAATGTGCTTGACAACCAACTTGGGTTTAGACTTTGTAAATAAGCAAAGGCATTGTGTTGTAGGCTATCCTAATAACACCAGCTAACCAATTCATTACATTAAACTGTCTGGGGAGGTAGTACTATACTCCCTTCATTTAAATGGCATTGATTATGTTCATGAAATTATTTCTGAGATGTAGGGTATCCGGTGTCAATCATAGACCTGCAAGTGGGAATAAATTGTAAAAGTTATGATCTTTTCCATATGAAAAGTAATATAAATGCTGTTTTTTTAGAGTCTGCTTTTTAACAGTGTACGTTTAGAAATATTTGCAAATGTGTTTTCAAGGGAAAACATGTCAAAATCTTTAGAAAAGATTAAATTCTTTCATTATATCTAATTTTATATTACTTAATTTGTTGGAGTTTGGGGCTGAGGTGGTCTTTTTTGGCACTGTATAAATTATTCATGAGGGAATGAGAAGAGTATGCACAGCTCCTGATGAATAAATTCCTTGAATGTAAAGGAAAAACAAGTTTTTCTATGTTGAATGTTTTTTATGTGATGGTTGCAACTATAACAAATGAGTTGGAAATAATATGATGACACCTAAACTTTGAGAGACAAGAAGTGTTTGGTTAGTACTTTATACAGCAACCTTTTCCAGTCAGCTTATGCAAGAAAGCATGGCTTTTCTGCTGAAGGGAAAAAAATTATTAAAATAGAAGAAGCTTTGTTACCAACTATTTTTTTAGGCAGAAAATTGCTTACCATTTAAAATTTCTTGCATAGCTTTTAATATATAAACACTTTAAATCAATTTATACTAATGCCCTTTAGAAAACACTTTTTTCTGCTAGCAGCATGGGTTAATTTTTAGTCTGTGTGTAGGTCTATTGGCAGGATTGCTTCCTAAGAGTTACTAGAAGTTATAAAATTTTTTTTTTCAAGTTGTTGAGGACAACAAACCAATTACAGATGTTTACTATCAATTAGAGTGTTTTGTTTGGGAATCTTTCTAAAAGAACAAGTCCAAAAAATTGTGTTAAAAACGACAGCAAATTGGATGCCAGGTAGACCTAAATTTGCACAGCTGTTCACAGCTTATATATACAGGGCAGGCACTGGTTGGTTTGCATAACCTTCCTCACACTGTGTGTCCTTTAATCTTCGTGTCTGATTGTGACACTTAGAAAAGAAATACCTTTGGAGAAAATTTAGTGATTGTCTTTCTATAGTCACCAGAATATATCTGGACTTTACTAAAAGAACCAGAACTGTGGTAGCACTTTCTGTGATGCAGGTGTATCCAAGTAGGAGTTGAAATAAAATGTTATTTCACTTGATGATACCTGAGTAGCAGCCTTCATCTTTCTCTCCCACGGTAAAAAGAAGTGTTTCTTTTGCCCAGTGAAAGATGGAGTGCAACAACTAGATCCAAAAATGCATCTGTTCTATTCATGCCTTATTTTTGTTACTCAAATCCAAAAATAAAACTTTCTGGTACTGATCTTTGGATGGACCTCTGTTTAATAGTTGCTGCAGTTTTCACAGCTGTCTGAAATTTGCCTCCTGTATCAGAGAGGATGCAAAGGTGGGGCTGAGACTGTCTCATTTCTCCAGCTGGCTGGCTTGTCTACTGGATTGCCAATTGTGCTATGACTGACCCAGTACACTGGGATATTTCATGCACTGAAACATGCCAGCAGAACTGGTGATGACTCTCATCTTAGAATAGCAGGTTTGGTTATTACCTTTATGGACACTTAAATTCTCTCAGATGGAACTGAGTTGTCTTTCAAGTTAAGGTAGTTTGTACACAATTCTAATAGAGAGAAAGAGGAGGCCACGTTTCTTTTAAACTGTGTGTGTTTAGTTTTTTAAGGATCCAATCTTCTGTAAGCAAGGCCAGAGGATCCTGCTGCTCAGAAAACACAACTTCTGGATCCTTCATTAGAAGACATTTTCTCATATATAATACATTTTCTCGTATATTATCTTGTTCAGGAGAAAGTATGAGTTTTAAACTATCTTATACAGAATGGTTCTTTTTGACTATCACTAAGCAGAAGGGAAATACTTGCCCAGTGATCATGGCTGTTGTGAATCCAAGGGAGAGCTTAGTTTTTATCCAGAGTTCAGGATTCCGCTTGTGATCACATACAAGAATTTTAAATTGCAACTCACAACTCTTGCCAGCCTTGACAGGACTTAAGTCATCAACATGAAGTCTTCGTTCTGTAAAATGTGGTTGTATTACCTTCCAAACACATGCCTCTGGAAATGGATCTTGAAATAGTAGTCATTCATGTAAACAAATCTGAGGAATCTCACTTCTTTTAAGCATAATTTTATACAACTGCATATTAGCTTCTGTTTCACTAGATCATCACTACTCTTGAATTATTTTACCATTTCAAAGAGTTTGGGATTAATTTAGTTACAACATTAGTATAAAAAAATCTTTCATAATGTCATTGAAATGATACTCATACCTTTTATGGCAGAAGACACATCTTCTTAAGAACTGCTTACAGCAAAGTCATTTAAAAATTACTAAATGTGATATGATAGTCTTTCTCATCACTTTATCTTTTTTCTGATATCCTTTGTAATCAGAAACTGTAAAAATACATTATGCTTGTGTGATGAATTTTAATCTACCTTTATATGGTAGAGCCCTTCAGAATATATATATAATATTTTTTTCTCCATTTGTACTGTGCTAACGACTTTGGAATTTAAAGGTCAATATTTAAAGCACAATGTGTTGGCTGAAGGAGCCCATGCAATTTTAATAGTGCTTAGCAGGCTGGTGAAAAGAGCAGTCTTTAACAGTATGCATGTTCTGTAGGAGTTACTGCTTTATGATGTGCAGACATTGAAGGAAGAATGCCAGTGGACTGGAAAGTTGTTACAGCTTAATGATATCCTGCAGTTCGATAAATGCCAAGGCAAACCAACCATGCTCATTTTCAACCTAGGATAAATTGATTTTGTGATAATTTCTTACATGATTAAATAATGTCTTATGTCAATATGATTATTTTCTCCTGCTATTCATGTAACAGCTTGTCTATGGAAACTTTTCCTTTTTGGTGTGCTCTTCTTTTGCCCTGAGAAGTTTATGCACCATGAGCAGGTATATAGCGATGAAATGTAATTAACAATTTGTTGTCTGTGTGGGTGGGTTTTTGCTTTCATCTTCTCCCTCCCTCACTCCTTGCCTCCATGGCATCAATTAAATCCAGCATTAACCTGTCTCAATATAACAAGATATTTAATGGAGTGGGTTGTTTGTGTTTTCAGGAAGTATTCTTGGGATATCTAGGGACTAGCATTCTGCCACTGGTGATGGGTATAAGCTTAAGCCTAAAGCACAGCATTAACATTTGTTAAAATATTTCAGGAAAGAATGCACATTGCAAATGTCAACACATTGTAATGCAGAAGTAAAATGAAAATTGCCTAGAGGGTGTCAATTGCTTAGAACTTGTGGCATATGGAAAATAAGCTTAGAAATTACTATTTTCTTCTTTTCATAATTTTATGTTAACCATAAAACTGCCCAAACCAATATAGTTTTCTCTCTTGTCTAACTTCATTGCATCTTTTTTCTTCCTTTTTCTTGCAGAATAATAGAATATATTGTTTGATATGGACTATGAGTGTTCAGTCTGTCTTGCAGCATTTAATGAAATACGTTTTCAGGGAAGAGAGAGATAACTTAAAAGAAATCAAATTCTCCATTTTGTGAGGTGACATGCTTTGAAGTTTGGTTTTTTTTGATGTGTGCATATCTTTCCAACAAGCTGAATTTGACCTAGTTAAACTTAATTTGTCAACTTAAAGATTTAGAGCACTTTACTCACCCTGATGAAAATTAGTACAGCATCATCTGTGTGACTGCAAGCTCCCTGTGAGTGCTGCCTTTTGAAGATACTTAGTTTGTTTTGCTGAAGTTGCTACTTACATTGTAATATTTCACATAAACTGATAGTGTATTGGTAGTGCTTTGGGTGTGTTAAATAGAAATTCAGCTGAGGTAACCAGCACTGATAGGTTAAGCAGTGGCAAACAGTACATGAACTGTGTCTTTAATGGTATGTGAAGGCTTTCCTCTTAACTTAGCCATCCAGCACTGTGCTACAGTGGGCAAAAGCACTTTGCTTTGCTCTGCTCTCTATAGTTTTTTTGGTTTACTTTTTTGTGCTGACACATTGAATAGTGTTTTGTTGTTGGAAGATGATGAAAACATCATAGAATCATAAATTATTTGGGTTGGAAGGTACCTTAATCTAGTACCAACCTCACTGGCAGGAACACTTTCTTCTAGACCAGGTTGCTCAGTGCCCCATCCAACCTGGCTTGAACCAGCCCATAGCATTGATAAGTCACCATGTACCAGCTCTTCTCCCCTGGTGCTATGTACTGAAAAAATCAAATCATTATGTGCTTCAAAATCCAAATGCAGTAAGGGCACAACATGTCTCCTGTCAAGTGCATTGGGGAAACAAGTAAATTGCTCTCTTAAATTCTGTTTTGTTCTTCCCATTTCCTTTTTTTAGAGAAAGTTCCCATTTTGTATTTTTCATACATTCCAGTGCTGGAATTAGGCAAAGAGTATGTTTTGGAATGGCTACAGTACACATCACTGAACTATGCCTGTCTGGTTCTCCCTTCTAGGGGTATTTTTTTTTTTTTTTGTCCTTCTGTTTCCCATATGTCTTTTTCCAACCTGTATGTGTCTTTTGACCAATTAAATAAATACACAGGAAAAAAATACAATTCACTGGAAATCCACTATAAACTCCAGAGTTTAATATAGTGGAATTATAGTGTATCTTATAATTTAGAAGAAAGAAGACATTAGAGTAACAGATCTACAGATAGTTTATGTGGATTCAATTTACTTTCTTCCTAGTATTTCCTGTGATTATTGATGTCGAGATATGACCAGGAATTAACTGTAATGCTTTGGGTATACTGTAAATGAATGTGGTTTATAACTGAATAGAGCTGGTGCTGTTGGACAGTCTGAAATAGTGCTGTATCAGAACACAAGTTCCATCTTTCTGCTTTTATTAAGTAAATTGTGTGTATATCTGTAATGGAAACCTTACAAGATCTGTCAGGGAATGGGATAATTTCATATTTACAAACCCAAGATGGCTGAAACCGCCATACTCTTGAGAGCAAATAGTGAAGAGTTTTACAAACACCTACTGAGAGAAGAGAAAAATATGTTAGAATTCTTGTGCTTTATTTTGGAATTTGAATGCCCAGATTTGTCTTCCTCTGAAATAAATAATTTAACTTTATGAACATCAACAAAGGGAACTTAATGCTTTCAGCAGATTCTAATACTAAAATAATAATTCTTCAGCAAAGGATTTTTTTTTTTATAAACAGCATTATTTCAACCAGTAACTTCCATGAACTTGAGATTGCGTGCCAATTTCCATTAGTGCACCATATATGCATTACTACATATATGTGGAAACAAAATAAGTGGAATGTACCTATGCCAGGTGTGATGGCACTGCCTAGAGTAACACAGCACTAACAGTAATATTTTTACTTTGGTCACAGTGTGGATGGGGCAACTGGTTTGGTTTTCAAGAAAATTCTAACACTCAAAAATCACTTTTAGTTTCATGCACAGTTGGTATTTGTACCTCAGATATAAGTTGTAATAGCTTTGTGACTAAATTGTCTGCTGTGTTTGAAAAAAATACTGCATTTTTTGAACAGTGTTTCTTCCTCATTCTCTTCATTTCCTTTTGCAAAGTAATACTGAATTTAATCAGAAACTGTACTTAGCTGATTGTGTCAGAGCTTTGTGCGGATTTAAATTACATAGTCCGTAGTAAAATTTGCCTGAGTTATTTTCAGGTAAATATCTGCTTAATTCTAAATTCCCGGTGGATTTCTGTAGCCCAGAGTCCCGTCTGTTTTAAAATAAATACATATAAGAAAAAATTCTATGCTTCGATGGATTTTTCAGACAAGGACTGAAGCAAGTCCTTATAAATAGCAGAGTTCATAAACCGTGGGTAAGAGTCTCTGTGCATTAAGGTATAAATTTGAAGCTGTGCATCATCAAAGGTGTGTTGTGAAGGTTCCAGCATATTTCGGTTAATAACTTCTCTTACTCTGGAGTCCAGACTGACCTGCATATTAAAATAGAAAGTCATGTAAATAATTAAATAATAGTGGTGAATAGTACAGGTGGGAGGGTCTTAGTTTTTTATTATTGGTTGAAAAAGCCATCTTTTTTAAGTATTTCAGCTGGTGTCCTCCAAGACTGTAAAAATTGCTAAATAAGCAAAAAATATTCTGTTAAAATTGGAATGGAGTAATAATTTGAGTATGGGTAGAGAAATGTCCTCATTGAGGTACCTTATTTGAACAAGTCTGTCTGCAGTCCCATTATTACTGAGACCAATGGGTTATTTCCAGACCAACTTCCTGCTCTCTAGAAGAGAGCATTTGTAATTTTTGGTGACAGTTCATTTCCTGGAGAGCCTAGTGCTGTTGTACAGAGACTGAGTTTGGAGTAAGAGTATGACGCAGGCGGACAATGTAACCTGGAAAGCTGTTGCTTAATCAAATTGCTCTTAAAATCAGAATGAATTGATGTGAACCACAGGTAGGGCTATATAATGATTCCATACAACATTCAGTAATGTCATTTTTTTTCCTGCAAGTGTCTAGTGTCTTTAGAGAGATATTAGTATTGCAGGAACAGACTGGGTAGATTTAAGCAGCATTTTTATAAGTGCGTAAGTGTAGCTGGCACCAAAAAAAATTAAATTGCAATTTTGCAAGGATGTTGGAAGGTTTAAAATTCCAGCCTGCCTGGCAGGATTATATTCAGACTGTACTGAGGTGTCTTTGAAACTTGACATATTTGCTAACAGCAAAGTGACAAGTAGTTTTGAAAATTTTGGGGAAGTCATTGTGTTTATTCTACGCCATATATTGTCAGCTGCTCTTTGAGAAATTCGTGCTTTAAAAATAACACTTTATTTGTGATTACTGTGCTTCTGGAGAGACACATACACCCCCTTCTGAGTGTAACAAAAAAAGGAACTGATTCGTCCAACAACTAAAATTTGAGTTGCGCAAGGATAACATGATCATATATTTGTGCCTCAGACTAAATATTCCACATCAGCAAGTGTAGCATAGGAAGAGCTTCCTTACAAAGGAAGGAAAGTAGTTTGACCATCTCACCTCAACAATGGGTGCCTTCTTCCCCTAAATATCTACTTGATGGCAGTGGAATGGTGGTGGGGGAGAGGAACTTCTCCATTAGTATTGCTGTAGCTTTAAACACGTTAGAACTAACTATGCAAAGAAACATCAAAGAATGTATTAGGGAAAGCAATATACCTCTTTTGGAGAAAGGATAGAAATATAATCTTCATAAATTAGTCTTGCTTTTTCTTCAATGACACTTTTGTTGGATTCTTGTTTTAGTTCCTCGCAGGCCATCCAGAAAAGCATGTTTTCCTCGCTGAATTCTGTTCTTAGAAATTCACGAAAAGCATTTCTGCCAGCTGGAGTAAGCATCAACTTGTCAAATGATTGAGCCCAGGCATTTACTTCTTCGAGAGTGGGAGCAGGGCTTAAGGAGGAAGAAGAGCAAAAGAAGAGAGAAATGAATGGTTGTTACTCAAGCTGTTTGCAACTGGCAGGAGGCATCTGCCATCACAATAGAACAAAATTGTTAAGTTCATGGGGTTCTGATTCCTCACTGGAACAACCCAAGTGCAAACTCTTGTAAACACATTTATGAGATGTTTTTTGAAAGTGTGGCTGTCAAAAGCTCTGATGCAGGTGATTGCCTATGCTTTGATGCAGAAATTGCAGATTACTGCTCAGAGTAATTGCAACAAAGAAGTACCTGTGCAACAGCTAGATATTTTTCCTATCCCTAATATTCCTTGTTAAATTGTGGTTAAAAATTGAATGAAAATACATATAAAAAAGCAATGATTTAAACACTCCAAAAGGTACCCACCTGTATGTTACCATTTTGCAGGTGCTTTTACCTGTTTGAGCATTTCTGAAGAAACTGTTGCCTGACTTGGGAGGATCTAAGCTCTGCTTTATTGTTTTTGTAAGGCTGAGCACTGCTGGTTAAGCTCACTGCATACTTGCTGGGTGAAAGCAGGATGTATTTTTAAATTATTCCAGGAAAAAGGAAGACAGTTTAAAATGCTGGTTTTAATTTGTCATGAGAGTGGGGATGTGCTGCATATAAATAATGTAAAATATTATAAATCAGACCTTTGGTTCATTAGGAGGTAAAAACCAGATGACTTGCAAATTGAGTGTAAATGACAAGTAGATAATAGTTCTTTTCATATTTCATGTAAATGATTGCAATTACTTAGTATGGTTTGTTGGGTTTGTTTCATTTTAGCTTGACAGAACACTTAATAAAGACCATACCTTTCCTCACAGTTTGGAATACCCTCTGCTTGGAGTTCATGAGATGTTCTCCTTGCTCTCTCTTCTTCTTGATTTCTAACAGTAAGACTGCAAAGCAGCAAACAAAGTTTTAGTGAACTTTATAGAGAAAAAGGCTGAACATACACCAGATACTTTTCCCTGTATACTAAAAAAATGTAATTCTAAAAGCACAGAAGCTAATGATGAGCACATTACCCATAGTTACATTCTTACCTTAATTTTGCAACTGTATAAACTTTGAGTGTAGCTGAATGCTGTTTAATATTCTATAATAAAGATTTTTTAAAGGAGGAAAGTTTCATAAAATATTTCAACTTGAAGGGACCCATAAGGATTGTCAGGTCCAATTACATATATATATATGTACACCAAATCTATTCTCCATTGATTTTTGTGTGTTTTTCTGTGTATGCTCAGTGCAATGCTTTTACTTAAGCTGGACCTGATGCACTGGTTTTATGTGAGTTTGATTTCAAGGTAGGTGTCTTTAGATTTGTTTGTTTCCATTTTCTTCCTGCTTGGCTGTGATGAGGACCAAGACTCTGGTTTGGAGTGGTGATACCATGTTATAGGGAAGCCAGAGTTCAGAAGCAGGACACAAGATTTAAGTGAGCTAAAGACTTCTTTCTGTATGTGATGTTGGAAAGGTAAGCATCTTTCAGAGTTCAGATGTAGATACAGCCAGATTGTGCAGTGATTGATTGCATCTTACAAAATTGCTAATACATGCATCAAAATGTGAGGTCTGGAGCACAAAGACCTATCATTGTTGAATAACATTTTGAGTATGTCTGAGCGGAAACACTTGTTTGTGGCATCACAAAAACAAAGTTTTCTGCAATCACTAGTGGTCACTGACAGGTTTTGATGTCCCATGGAAGGGTTGCTGTCAACTCCTGCTTCTTTCATAAAATATTATTTAAGATAGCTCTAGTTTTTTAAAATCTCTTTTGTAGTTATAGATGGTTCATTTTCATTTGAAACTGGATTTGAAAATATAAATATTATTTTAGAGAGTACTGTACTACATTCCAGTTCATCCTGGCTGTGGTAGCTTAGTGTGAAATGCACATACATATATGCATGCAGTCATATAATCTGTAAAACTGCTTAAAATATGTAAAGAAGAAAAGGTAGCAGTGAATAACCTGTTACTTATATGAAACGGGCCTTCCAGCTGAAACAAGGCAATACAGACACTTTAACTTCTAAGGAAATATCATTTGTATCTCACCTTTCTTTCATGCTAATGTTCTGAGTTTTGCTGCCTTAATCACTAAGAATTTCATTTATCTCTAGGAAGGTTTTTTCTTAAACCAATGGATTTTTCTGCCTCTTTTGCCCTCCAAACTTTTGGTCAAGTCTTATGTGTGCCTTATTATTTACTGGGAATCTCCTTCTCCATCTTTGTCTACTGTAGCTCATAGTCTGCAGAGACCTGCTTTTTTCTTTGCCATGGCAGTCCATATGTTGAAGACATAAAAAAGCTTTTGTATTGCTAAGATGGAGAGTAGACAAAAAAAAACTAACACTTATTTTTCAGCAACATCTGAACCATATGGTCAAACCCATGAATTATTTCAACTTACCTTTTCAGGAAAAAAAGAGAAAAAAGTAAGTAGTTATGCTAGTTCTTTATTCTGTTGGACTATATGGGTCTCAAGCCTTTACTACCCTTTTTACCAGTGGTTCTGGCCTTTTTTGAATGTGTAAAGTGATACGTATTCCTCACACACAGACAGGAAGTGATACTCTTGTCAGAGCTATTTTGGATTGAGGGCAACCAACAGATCCAATAGCAAGGAATACAGTCATCATAGAAAAGGAGAAAGACCAAAGAAATTACAAAAGCGTCCCTAAGAAAACATGCCATGCTTCAGAAAATTACTTACAGGCAGGCTCTTTCCGTAGAAATGTACAAGTAAAAATAAAGAGACCAGTGCAATACTGTATCCTCTTGGGATCTGGAAGAGTAATAGGCTGGAGGCTTGGGTTTGACTGCAGGAATGAACACAGGCTCTGAGCATCCAGCTGAGAGACTCATTTCAGTTCGTTCTAAATCTACTATTAAGAATATGCTGAATATTGGATGTTCAGCAGCTCAGCTGCATGACTCATGGAGACTGTTATTTTTATTCCTATTCATAATTTTTCTGTTCCAAGAGCTTAGGCTATTTTGAGGAAATGGTCTATGAATGGGGAATATAAATAGCTTAATTACGGTTTGTTTTGCATTTCTTGCTACTAGAAAACAATTGTTAAAAAAAATAAATCTGAAATTATTTTAAAGCTGAAACAAGCTGCTCTGCTTCTGAGCCTGTATTAGTTTCCCAGATGATTCTGAAATGCAAATAGGAATTTTAAGCATCATGAAATTTGGGTACTTTCACAAACCCTATTGAGTAAATTGCTTTCTTTGAATTGTTTGAATAGTGAGATGCACAGAAAAGGAGCATCCAGGAAAATACCAAGTAAAATCACAAAAAAACCAAAAAAAAAACCCCAAAAAACACTTTATCAACAATTTAAAAGGTAAAATGCAAATTTTATATACTGTGACTTAGTAGATAAAAATATCATGTTTTTCCCTTGACAGAAAACCATTTTTGTGTAATGCAGCTCTGAACTGAACCACTTGCAATTGCACTGGACAGCTGTTGAAATGGCATTGGAATTTGTGTGGGGTGTTTTAACATCGATGCAATAGGTAGCAAACTGATCTTGTACGGGAAGAGTGCTAATGTCTCTCTAAATTCTACCTTAGTTTACCTCTAAGCACCTGCTGAAAAGCTTGGTAGGGTCAGAGGCAGAGTTCTTGGCATCTCACAAAAAACCCCAAACCTCCAAGCAGCATTTTGTTCTTGCAAAATATTCCCTATTTGCATTAGGGAGGGCAGAATTTTGTGTGTCTTGGCTTCTGATGAGCTGAGTACCAACAGCAAGGAAATGATAAGGCTTCTCTTCCTTTGCCTTCTAATGGTGTTTTCCAAAGCATTTGCCACAAGGTGCTGTTGGAAAACAACAGTGGAGTAGATTCCTAGCCTATAAGGTTATTTATGACCACTTCCCATCACCTCAGTGCCAGCTTTGCTTGCTCTGAAGTATTTATGTGGTGGATAATGAATTTCTAAGAAGCATTCCACTTGCTGTCAGTGTTTTGGGTGAACTCCATGGCTTGTATGAATGCAAGTTCTACTCTCATCCATTAAGTAACACTTTACCCTATGCAGATACAGGTCTTTTGAGTAAATTTACTTTTTAAGTTTAGAATTAAATCACATGGATCTAGAGGAGCTGGTACAAAAATGAAGGTGAACACATTGTTAATTTAAGGAATCAAGTGATTCCCTCTCTTTTGCTTTGATTGAGAAATCTTCCTTAACAGGAGTGGGACTTTTGTAATGGGAGTTTTTCTGCATTTTTTCTGCATAGCTCCTCATCTTCAGTAAATATGTTCCATGTTTAAAATTTCTGGTCCCATGATTCTCTTCATACAAGTTGCAGGTGCCATCAGTTGGCAGTACTAATTAATGACAACAGATCCAGTTACCTTCAGGGGAATAGAAGAGTGCTGGGCACCTGGTTATTCATTTTCTGACCTACAAATCATTTTTTAACTTCTCCTAACTCCATTTAACACCTTCAGTGCTGCTTGTCAAGGCCAAAATCTAAATCCAAAGCTGTGACATATTCTGGTATTGCTTTCAGTTTTTTTGTGGGAGCCTTTGTGAAGCTCAGTGCTGAGGAGACCCTGTCCAGCACAAAATAGACATTACACAGGTATTGACAAAAAAAGCAATACAGATATTTCTTTTAAAATCTGTTATTTCAATGGCAGGGTAAAGACAGAGTACACTGGTGTGGAAGGTTGTATCTAGTAGTAGAGCACAGTTATCACTTTGTGTCCCAGATTTGCAGAATTATACAAGTGTTTTCTTTAGCTTATGTCGTCCAATGAAGGAGCTATGTGTTCCTTCCCTGCTATTCTGTTCCCTAGAGGCTTGAATGAGAGGGGTTACCATGAGCAGCTGCAGCAACAGCACCAACAAAAGCAGCAGGCATTGGACCCTCGATTTCCTGTGCTGAGCTGAGCCTGTGCAGCACCTGGGGTCTCCGGGGTCGTAGCCATCTGCCGTTTGCGTATCTCCGTCCTCTCTGATCCCATGGGCTGCAAGCAACAAAAGAAGGGAGAAGTAAGAAACATCTCTCTTTTTTTTTTTTCCTTTTTTTGTTTGCTTTAAAAGTCTTACCCAGAAGTTCTGAAGTCCACAGCCTCAAAGGAACTGAAAAGCTAAATCACTGTTTTTCCCCCATGAACGTTCTTAGGTGTTGAATCCTTTGGAAGAATCACTCATTTAAGTGCTGTGATGGAAGGCAAAGGGCTAATGAATTCTTCACAGTGTGGGAATACAATGAGAAGGGAGTGGTGATGCAGAGAGCAAAAGGTACAAGTGAGGGGTCTTGGAGAGCTAGAGCTCTTGGCACTGAGGTATATAAGCCTAGGAGTTGAAAAGGATTTCCTGAGGTTTTGACTTCAAGGCCATCCTAAAGAAAATAGCAGAATAAACAGAATAGCAGCAGCTAGGGCCTCATTTTTTTTCTTTTTTTTTTTTTTTTTTTTTTTTTTTTTTTTTTTTTTTTTTTTTTTTTTTTCTTTTTACCAGAATGCACAGGCTTCATGATGCTTGAGTAAGACACCTGAGCTCTCTTGAAAATCTGGCCTTTTGTCTCAAACCTGCTGGTTCCCTTTGTAGCAAAGGGGGAAGGGCCAATGCTCATTTCTCCATGGAAGGTCTGACTGTCACAGTTTTTGAAAACATTTTTCTCTGTGCTTCTGTGAAGATAGGGAGGAAACACAAAACTAGATGGTAAGAATTACATGGTTTTCACTGAACTCCCCCCACCTGTAGAGAGCATGAAACAATTTTTGCTGGATGCACTGGTTGATTTTTTTTGCCTAGTTGTAGGAAGTGTTTTTGGAGATTGCATTTTGCAGATTGTGCAGATAAGTTGATGAAATGGTATGTCCCCTTGAAGCCCCTGTTCATTTCTGACCTATCTCTGAGCTTTACATTTGCTCTGCAGCACTTAATAGGGCTCTCCTTATTATGCTGAAAGTTCTGCCATATGTAAGTGACAGATGTCTTTGAGAGATGAAATGCTAACTTGTACAAAGATGAGTATGGCTTTCTTCATTTTATTTGTATTTGAGTTTTGAATACATAGCTAGTCATCCTCCTGTGTCATGAGATCCCTTTGTGTGTAGGTTTGTTTCAGGTTGCTAAACCTTCTTTTGAGGCCATGACAATTGTAGGAGAATTAAAATTAACTGCTAACAATTTTGAGTTCTTTTTTTAAAATCTGTAATATCAGACTTGAATCTAATGAGATAAATACTTGGGGGTTAAAAGTTGTTTTCCTTTCTAAAATGTTCATCCAGGTTTAGAAAATGCTATTGTTTTAACTTGAGGGGGAATGTACAGATTGTGTCATGGACTCAACAGAAGTGTCAGGAGAAGAAAGAATGTTATTTTAGCAGAGTGCAGAATTACATTTTGCTGCACTTTGGCTACTGTGTTGTTTTTTTTTTTAATTTTGAATTTATTTCTGTCTTGTAGAGCTTAATAGTTTTTTTGTATTTGTGAGAACCACCCACTCTCCCAAGAGAAAAATGCATGACATGGTAGCAGAAGATGCACCTGTGTAGCAGGTGGAATAAAATACAAGAACAACAATATATGTAGAAACTATAACCCATTTTGAAACTCTGAAGGCCCAATCTGACAAGCAATGCCTAAATGACCAGGAATAGAAAATGAGAAAAAGAACATAGTTTCCAATTCTCCCTCCCCAACCTTTCTTGCTTCAAAATGTGGAATCTTAACAGAAATGTAGAATGCATTTGTAGAATCAGATTTCTTTCTGTCAGCTTCAGATTCACATGAATGGAATTAATAAGTATTAATTTTCTTCCAGATACCTATATTTTTTTTAAATGGAGCATTTTCACATTTCAATTAGAGAGGGATAGCATATAAAACATTTTTAGAAGGACCATATATCTCACAACATTTCAGGCTGCTCTGAACAGTACACAACAATTATTATTGGTTAGAAAAATGTAACTTGGATTCAGACTTGTGCTGTTTGTATAGGCTAATTTTGAGATATTTTATGTTCACACATTCATATCTCTATTTGATATTAATAATGAGTTAGCCTGGGCTAGATACAATCCAGGGTCCATGTTACAGGATGGCAAGGTAGAGAGCTGAGCAGTGATGCAGGTTATTACAGGGTTGTAGAAGCTCCTTTGGTGCACATGGTGTTAAGTCCCATAGGACAAAACCGTGTCAGGCTGGTCAGGTTCACAGAACAAGCAATAAGTGATCTATCTCAGCACTGTTTACCTGTCTTCACAAGTGCCTTGTCTTATGTATCTATGTATCTTTTGGCTGCTTCTAATATATCCAGAATTTCACTGGAGGACATGGAAGTTTTCCCTCACACTTTTCTGCTTCTTGCTGCAGCCACCAGGGCTGTGTAGTGAACCTTGCCAGGCAGTTGCTGGGTTTGAGCTGTGCTGTGTGCAGGAATGGATAGTAGATTTATCAATTACTCCAGTGGACACTATTTGCAGGGATTAACAAAATTCCTTGCTCCTTTATAGTACAGCCCACATTGGCAACAATTTAAGCAATTGCTCGATTGGTTTGTGGATCTCTGGGAATTGAGATGGTTATTATGTTGCCTTCAGGATCCTTCAGGGCAAAAAGGAGAGGGTGTTTCTAGACCTTTGTTGTGAAAGGGTCTTCTAGTCATGTAATTTTACAGTTGTTAATTTGGGACATCAGATTTCCAGACCTCTCTGAAGGTGCTATGGGAATGAAAAAATTGTATGAGAACCCTCTGTACTGGATGTTCTCTGCACTTTAAGAACTGGAGTCTGCCTTCTCTATCCCCACCATCTGGAGCAGCAATGTGCCTTGTTTGAAAATGGGTTAGAGAAGAAAACACTGAGGATTAGAAAACTGGAGATGGACTGTTATCTTGTACATGTTTTCTGAGGAATCCAAAAATACTTTCAAGTTAGTGATGGGGTGATGTAAGATACTTTTAACAAAAGGACTTCAACCCAGACCATCTCATGCTCTGCTTAGACTCAGACTGGATATGGGTTTAGCCAGTTTCTGGGTATAACATGAATAATCAGTAGGGTCTAATTCTGCTAATATTGACTCACTGTGAGGAATCAAATCTTTGAATGGGACAGTCAGTGTCTAAATGGAAAGAGGGGGTTCTGTTGCACAGGTCCTCATAGTGGTGGTGTTGGCTTGAGCACGTGAGGCTCTGGGACCTGCATTACTGCTCAGATCCTACACACAGGTGTCTCATGTACCCTGGGACAGCTCCAGTGTGCACATGATCCATCCCTGGTGGTTGTCTGGAGCTACAAATCATCTTCTACCTCCCTAAATTGTGCACATGAGTCTGTCCTGCATGATCATTTTTGCATCTGCAGGAAGTTTCTTGTGACTACAGACCAGTGACTGGCCACTTACGAGTCTCCTCTGACTACCTGCAGTCTGTGCAGAATTGGGTTGATTTTTTAGCTTTGGAGATTCTGGATATTCTTCATGCAGGAGGTTAATCAGCACATTGGAACATAAAGAAACTTGTCTAGGCACAGTGGGTCCTGCCTGGAAGAATCCGCAGAACCATTCAAATTCCACATGGAGAGCACCAATTAGTCAAATACTTAAATGAGAACTGGGTTTGTCTCCAGTTGGTCCATTATTTCAAGTCAGTCTAATGTAGCATCTCTGCAGATGCCTAGGTGCAGAGTTTCTGCATCTCCTGAGGAAAGAGATGTCCTTCTCTATGTAACAGTAACAACAAATTTAGTCCATTATAAAATTGTCCCTAAAGAGCAATGAAACAAAAATAGATGAACATTAATGGCATTAATTCTTCTTCTTGCTTCTTATCCCACTAGATAGCATCTATCTATCTATCTATCTATCTATCTATCTATCTATCTATCTATCTATCTATCTTATATAAAATAATATAAAAAAGTATGTGCTCATATTATTGCATGCTAATAAGTAATTTTTAAAAAGTCCAAGGTTTTAAGCAAACATCTGAGATGCTACTTTTGACAACAGTGGCAAAATCACTGGATGCCTCAAGAGTAATGTTGAGGTGGTGAAAAAAGAATGTCTGTCATATCTTTTCCACTCCAAAGCATACTTATCTGACATTCAGATTATGAAGCATTTCACCATGTAACCTTATAAACATGAAGGAGTGTAAAGGTCAGGAGTGAAAATTATTTCCCTGGTTAAAAACACCTCAGGTGATATTTGGCTTAGTTGTAACATTTATAGTATTTGCTAATTTCTCAGCAGAAAGGTGGGCTACTAAGAAAATAGCATTCTCAAAGGAGGAATATTTAAAATCCAAGCCACAAATGTAAATTTAAAAAATAAAACAAAACCTTAATCAAATTTTAAAAAAGCCCCAAACCCAGGAATACACAGAAGATTGTAGCTAAAACTTTATACTTTTATCCCCACTTTATATAAAATACAATGACATTTTTTCAGCTTTAAGTGCAAAGATTCTATTACTTAAACTTAATTACTGAGACTTAATATTTCCTCCTTGTACACATTACAGTCAGGCAGGTGTGCAAGCCTTTAGCTTGTCCTTGGGGCTGATTTGCATGGCCACAGCACGGAGCTTTCCCAGTAACTCCACAGCCTGGGAAGCCTTCTGCTGGAACACTAGCTGACAGCCACTTGGAGTGAGGACACAGATGTGGATCATATAGTCCAGTTATTTTTCAGTAAATACTTCAGGCCTGACCCAAACTCCACTAAAGCAATGAAAGCCACTTCTTGGTGTCAGCAAGCTTTAGGTGAGGTTATGTAACTCTCACGGTTGTTGCTTTGACTTTGGATCCTCCCAGTAACGATAACCAGTGAGTTGGAAGAGATTCTGTTCTTATCTACTAATGTCATAAGAGGCTTTCAACTGGGGTCAAGTTCCAAATAAATCTCTAAATCTATATTTTAACAATTCAGATATATTTGGGGCTGCAACAAACTCCCACTGAAGCCTGTGGCAGTTCACTGTCAACTGAAATATGAACAGGAAACTTGATGCTCGTGCTTCTTCCTTTTCATTGACAAATGTGACAAGCAGGCTTTCTGCATCAAGCAGTGTGCTATTTTAGACAGAGAAGAATTCTAATATATGTTAATGAACTCGCCCACACATATGCACATGCTTTAGGCACAGTTATCAGATTGCCCACTTTAGTAGGTTAAGAGCAAGAGTTCCTCAAAAGTTACCATGTATTATTGCAGATTTGGCATATTTTAGTGGGGCGGCTGAGATGGTTGAGAGTTTGTGACTGCAAGACAGAGGTTAGCAGAAAGGAGACAGGCAGCACATGGAATAAATCAGCTTTTTGTTTCACTGCTGTGCCCAAGTCTGCTAAAGGCTTCAGTGGATAAAGTTGCAAGTGAAAGTGTTATCCTGTGACTAACAGCTCTGGAATACTTTCATGTCAAATGTCCAGAAACTGAGCACCTCT